AAATAAATAAATAAAATCTTAAAAAAAATTACACTATTTTATTTCCTAAAAGAAGGACAGTGTGTTTATCGTATCCGCATTTAACTTGTGTGCTGATTATAGAACCTTATAGGGTGATATGAAGGTAATAGTTGTTCATTGGGTAGCAATAGAAAATGCCAGTTTGGGAAGACAGCAATCAGGTGACTAAGGACTTTTGGGGGACACTTTAAAGAAGAGTGTGCATTGAGTCTGATTAAGTAAGTTTTAGACTCATCTTCATAAGATTTAGATTCGGGTCCAGCAGTTGATGCCTACTATGCCATGTAATAAGCCTTCGCACATACTACCTCATTTAAACCTCCCAGTGACAAACTTTATAACATGTTTCATGGTTTACAGGGGCTTAAAAATTAACACTATGATGGAAATAAGCTGGAGCACCATAAAATTCTCTACTGATCTCTCCCTCCATTTGCAGACAGATTTGATGTTGTCTTAAAGTAAGTGGTTTCAACGCCAAGACATGGGTATAGAGACTTTGCTTTTTTTTTTTTTTAAGATTTTATTTATTTGACAGAGAGAGACACAGCGAGAGAGAGAGAGAGAGAGAGAGAGAGAGAACACATGTGGGGGAGTGGGAGAGGGAGAAGCAGTCTTCCCACCTGAACAGGGAGCCCGATGCGGGGCTCGATCCCAGGATCCTGGGATCATGACCTGAGCCGAAGGCAGACGCTTAACGACTGAGCCACCCAGGTGCTCCTAGGGACTTTGCTTTTATTTCTTTCTTTACTTTAGCACAGGCTCCCAACTTGAGTGTGCCAGAGATTTAGGATAAAAGACTGAATATACAAAATCATGTAAATTGTAGCATTTAAGGAAGCTTAGATTTAAAATCTGTACTATTTGGAGAAAAGGTCCCTTGTATCAGTTATATGCAAGGTTAATTTGTCAGGCTGGCAAGATTAGCCATTGTGCTGCCTGCTAGCAACAACACCTTGGGCAAGGTAATTCACCTCCCCATCCGAGATTCCCTTAGGGAAGATAGTAATAGCCACCTTACAGGGTGGTTGTAGGATTAAAAACATGATTAGCGTTGCCACCCAGCAAGTGGTGTTCTCCACTGTAATCCAGATCCTGGTAAGGCTGACATACTTCATTTTGTTTTCTTTTTGAAAATAAACTAGAGCCTTTTTCTGGAACTTCACGACAGCGGCAAACCAAAATGACCCACCATTCCCCGGTCGATCCTGATGTGAAGGAACAGTCTTCCTCCAAAATAATGTTTAAAAAGAAGGGAGGATGGAAGGCAGGTCCCGAGGGCACGTCTCAGGAGATTCCCAAGTATATAACTGGTAGGTGTTTTTGAAGAAGTGAAGTTTGATTATATGATGAGCTCTCTGTTTCTAACGCAGCCAGATTTCCAGGGCTCTCTGTCTTGGCCCTGCCTCCACATCTCTCTCCTCTCCTCCTTCCACGTTGGGCCCTTCTCGCCTGCAGCCTGGACTTTGGCTGTAGCTTCCTTGAACCTGATTGCTCTCCCCTCTTCCATTTCTTTTTTCCTCTTCTTCATCTTCTTATAAGTCCATATCTGTGAACTGTTCCTTTTTGTCCTAAAATCTTCTTTGCCCTTCCCCCACCCCTTTTTAAAATATAAAATGCCATCTATAGTCCTCAGCACGCATTCTCCAAAGATGAAACCAAATTTAACACACTCCGAGGGTAACTAAGACCTTTAAATACCTGTCTCCAGGCCCCTTCAGACCTTGTCTCCAGTCACCCCTGCTATCCCATAACCCTATATCCTTTAGGTGTGCTTTCTAATCTCTGTGCCTTCTGTTTACTTCCAAAAAAATTCTGTTTTTCTATAAGGAAAACTAGTAATAGTTATGGCTACATATTTGGAAAAAGCAGAAAATGTTTAAAAAAACCCTTGAAGTTGCAACCATTGTTAAAATCTTGCTTTTTCTTTGTTTTCTTGTGTGATTATTGCACTTAAAAATGGTTGAGATTATATTGCACGTCGGCCTCCGCTTTAAGAAATTCTTTGTATACTTGCTTTTAAACTTTTTATCTGATTAGAAAAGTAACACTGAATCTTTGTAGAAAAGAAGTTGAAACAGAATAGTTTCATAATCTGATAATACAGAAATAACCACCCTTGGTATTAATCTAATTGGGGGTTCAGGTGGTGGGTGAGTTGTAAGCTCATGTACTTCAAATCTCTCTTCCTTCTGAGATCTACCAGAAGTATGGATTCAAGACTTGTCTTTAATGATGGTGCTGTTTTGTCGGCAGCTTCTACTTTTGCTCAAGCCCGAGCTGCTGAAATCAGTGCTATGTTGAAAGCAGTGACCCAGAAGTCTTCTAATTCGCTGGTTTTCCAGACCCTGCCCCGGCACATGAGACGGAGAGCCATGAGCCACAATGTCAAACGCCTTCCCAGGCGGTTGCAGGAGATTGCCCAAAAAGAGGTATGAGTTTCACTTATTGTAAATGTTTAAGTTAGTAGTTTGTAAAAGAAATTGAGACGTGTTAACGTAATAGAATTAAGATGAAAACCAGAAGCAACATGCTCATTTTGCATATTTTTTTGGTTTAATCATGATTCCCCCCC